GGGCCGGACCCTCTCTCCCTTGCCCCTATAAATAGAGGGGAGGTGGGAGGGCAGCCGCACCACATCCAAGGCGCAGCCCTCCTCCTCCTCCCGCGACGCTTGGCGAAGCCCTGCCGGAGTACCACGTTGCTCCAACACCACCATGCCGTCGTGCTGCTGCTGGACGGAGTCTTCCCCAACCTCTCCCTCTCTCCTTGCTGGATCAAGGCGTGGGAGACGTCACCGGGCTGCACGTGTGTTGAACGCGGAGGCGCCGTTGTTCGGTGCTTGGATCGGAATCTACCGCGATCTGAATCGCCACGAGTACGGCTCCCTCATCCGCGTTCTTGTAATGCTTCCGTGTCGCGATCTTCAAGGGTATGAAGATGCACTCCCTCTCTTTCTCTCTCGTTGCTAGTTTCTCCATAGATTGATCTTGGTGATCCGTAGAAAATTTTAAATTTCTGCAACGATCCCCAACATTGCCGAGTGTAATACTAACCTTTACCGAGTGTAACACTAGGCAAACTAGGAATTTGCCAATTGTTATATGTCGTCAAGTGTATTTTCCAACGCACTCGGCAAAGTTTGTTGAGTGCCCGAGAAAATACACTCGTCAAACAAGAAAATTCTGGTAGTGTACCATACATTGCTAGCCATGCTCTTCTTGCTCTTGTTGTGGAGGTGTACTTTTTCTTTGATGTGGCTCGCCATCTCGGTGTCATGCGCACATTTATCATCATTGTCCATCAGGGTACATGTTTTAATCATCAGGATTAGCTCCTCACCATACCTCTGTACAGGCACATTTTGTTTGGACAGGTTACGACAATCAAATTTGAAAGTGTTCGAGGAGATTGCAATTGGGATAGTGAGTTTTCTTCCTATTGAACTTCTGCTTGGGCTTCTCCACATTTGGCTATGGGTTCATCCTACCTTGCTCATGCAAGGAGCACTGGCTCTTCTCCTTCCTAGATCCACTACCAGACACATCATCTGAGTTCTCCCCCTAGCGCTCAAGGCCAATCACTAAGTATGTGTTAGCATCAAGTGCTCATCTTCCATGGTATCACTGAAGTTTAAATTTAACCTTTCATCCTACATCTTGTATCGCTTGATGAGATCCTCAATTGTGAGCGAGTGTCTTCACACCGATGCATTGCTCAATATTAGACATGATGTACGTATAACATGGAGAGGCGGCACGAAGGAAACGACATACAACCGAAGTATCATCAATTTTCTCATTGAGTTAATGATCATGGTAATCTCGATGTGAAGTTGACCACAAACTTGTTACCTTCCATCCTCGAGGTCTTTTACTTCCTATGCAATGCTTGTTGGTTCGCTTGGCGATCACGATCACTGATGGCCTTGATGATATCCCACATATCTTTTCATAGTTTCCTTTGTAGTGAAATGATGCATCTTTATTTTATCACCACTGGGATTGTTTCGTGGCACTCAAAGGTTGTCTTCTTCTTCAACACCCACATGTTTTAGTCATTATGCTCCAATACGAGGGTA